AGAACATGTTCCCGAACTCCGTCTCATCCTCTGATCGGAACTCCTCGGTCCATGGTCCGGATAATCCAGGGTTCGGCCGCTGCTGCAGAGAGTCTTTGCGCAGAAAGTTGGCGAACTTGTGGACAAACTTTTGGACCCTGAAAGTGTCTCCTGATGGGACTCTGTCCGCCAACACAGTCCGAGCAGAACCAAGAAGAACCGAGCAGACTTCAGTCCAAACACCGAGCGAGAGTCACCGAGGAGAAGGAAACCCGAGTTCCGAGTTCAGCTCCTAGTCTCCATGTGAGACAAAAACAAAGACCGGAGTCCAAAACTCAAGACCAACAGATCCACCCGGACCGGCTGCTGCTCCTCTCTCCTCCACAAGGTTCCGGTTCCGATTCTCCGAACCAACAAAGTTCAGAAAGTAAAAAAGAAGATCCGCTCCGTCCGTCTCCGTTTCTGTTTCCCTCCAAGTCCAGGACTGAAAAACGACTGAAGGGGGAGAGAGAGGGAGAAAAGAGGGACGGGGGAGGAGCCACAGAGACCCGAGACCTGATCCAGACCAGCAGGAGGCGGAGCCACAGAGACCCGAGACCTGATCCAGACCAGCAGGAGGCGGAGCCACAGAGACCCGAGAACTGATCCAGACCAGCAGGAGGAGAGAGGAGCCTGGAGGAGGTCCATGAGGGATTCTGTTTAGGATCAGAATACCACAGCTGAGTATTAGTACTACAGCTGAGTACTACAGGTGTGTATTAGTACTACAGCTGAGTATTAGTACTACAGCTGAGTACTACAGGTGTGTATTAGTACTACAGGTGTGTATTAATACTACAGCTGAGTATTAGTACTACAGCTGAGTACTACAGGTGTGTATTAGTACTACAGGTGTGTATTAGTACTACAGCTGAGTATTACAGATGTGTATTAATACTATAGCTGTGTATTAGTACTACAGGTGTGTATTAGTACTACATCTGAGTACTACAGCTGTGTATTAGTACTACAGGTGTGTATTAGTACTACAGCTGAGTACTACAGCTGTGTATTAGTACTACAGGTGTGTATTAGTACTACAGGTGTGTATTAGTACTACAGCTGAGTATTACAGGTGTGTATTAGTACTACAGGTGTGTATTAGTACTACAGCTGAGTATTACAGGTGTGTATTAGTACTACAGGTGTGTAGTAGTACTACAGGTGTGTATTAGTACTACAGGTGTGTATTAGTACTACAGGTGTGTATTAGTATTACAGGTGTGTATTAGTACTACAGGTGTGTTTATTAGGAGCAGACTTTCACACTCCTGTTCATCCTTTTCTCTCATTTCTGCAGATTTTAGTCTGCTAACCTCTGATCAGCTGATTGATCAGCTGATTGGTGGCTCTGATCAGCTGATTGATGAGCTGATTGGTCTCTCAGTCTCATCAGTGTTATAATTACAGACACACTGAGCAGCTCCTGAAATAAACACAGACGATAAAGAACGGCCGCCTCTCTCCTCTGCTGTTCTGTTTTCAGGAACATGTTCGGAGGAGGTTCTGAAAAGAAGACGGGTTTGGACCGGAACATAAATCTGAATCCGGACTCTGTTTTTAAAGTTTTCCACAAAGTCAACTTTTACTTTGAAACTCTTGCAGCACATTTCCTGATCCTCCTCTCTCAGCCGAAATCCTCAGACTTTAGATCTGATGAAGCCGGACTGCAGCAGCAGAACCCGACCAGAACCCTGACCAGAACCTGACCAGAACCCTGACCCTCCTGTCGCAGAAAAAAAGACTCACTGATGTTTGTGGACTCAGAGTGTCAGCGGGCCGAGCGCTGACTGACAATTCAGCCGAGTCTCTGTGGACCTCATTAGATCCCCACTCCTCCTGTGTGTGTGTGTGTGTGTGTGTGTGTGTGTGTGTGTGTGTGTGTGTGTGTGTGTGTGTGTGTGTGTGTGTGTGTGTGCGCGCGCGTGCACATCTGTGTGTATATTTGTATTCAGTTTAGAGAAACACATACTATGGCTGCATCCTGCATTTTCCATGAATCCCTCGCAGGGTCGTTATGGAGAGACACACAGACACACAGACACACACACACACACACACACACACACACAGACACACACAGGTGAATATTTGCCCTGAGGGTGCTCATCATTGTTTTCCTGAGTGTCAGTCTGCTGTAAATGTGAGAAACGTTGTTGGTTTTTGTTTTTTTGTTCGTGATGATGAAATTCTTCGAGTCGACGTCGACACAGACTTCAGGTTTTTCCTAAAATAACGATCTTCTTTCTTTCTTCATGTCAGACACTCAGAGACTCTGCATGTCCCAGCAGGTATAATTACAATTATTCAGCGCTCACGCTCTGTAGTCCTCTGAATAATGAAGTAAGAAATCAAATATTAAGAGAAGTCAACACAGTGAGAAATAATCCGGGTGTGTTTCTGCGCAGGATTACAGCCTCAATCTTGACACTTCACACTCAGGCAGAACTTTCAGCGGGGTGATATTAAACAGCAGAGCGAGCAGGAGTCAGCTGTAACAGCAAAGTGAGACTTTACACACCTGTGAGAAAAACAACAAAATAAAACCATCTGGAGAAAACTGAAGGTTGGATTTCAAAATAAAAGCAGAGAAACATTTTAGTGCGAGAATAAAAACTATAAATTTAACACCGTTCTTCTGTTTTTACTCTTTCTGACAGGACGGTGTGAAATATGATCGAATTCACCCCCACTGGGAAATAAAGTCATTTTTAATCCTGATAAAAACAACGGAGCAGAATTCAACACTATGAAACCAAATTGATGAGCTTTTATTTGAACTCTGTCATTAGAAACTGGCAGTAATATCTTTATTTAAATTTATTTATTATTATATTTATTATTATTGTTATTATTGTAATTATTATTATTATTATTTAATTATTTAAAAAAAATTTATTCTATTATTTAATTTTATTATTTTGTTATTTTATTCCTTTGTTGTTTTTTAAAAAAGTGTTTGAACTTTTGTTTATAATAATCTATAATGATGTGAATAAAATCTCACAGTATCATCAGATTCAAACAAAGAGGAACATCAAACTGAAGCTGTTCGCTCCTTTTCTCCATATCAGGAGTCACAGGAATCTACTGACGACTTCCTGTTACTCTCTAATTTAAGAAATTTTAGGTTTTGATTTGACCATAAATGCGTCGGTGTTTCCTGTCCCTCCTTTTCTCTCCTCCTCGCCGCCTCGTTGGAGCGGGATAGCCTCGAACAGGGAGCTGATGAGGGTCAGGAGAGATGCGAGCAGCCACAATCTTCGCCCGCGGGCAGATCGACTGGTGGACAGAAAATTTATTCGGAGGGAGCTGTCGCTGCATCTGCCTGACTTTGAAGTTCTCTCTCCACGCCGGCGCGTCGTACGTGACTGTGTGTTCATTTCTCTGCCTCACCGAAGAGAGCTGGTGGAGAACACTCGTGTGTGTGTGTGTGTGTGTGTGTGTGTGTGTGTGTGTGTGTGTGTGTGTGTGTGAATTTAAAAGGAGAGGGAGGAGAGAGGGGAGATGCTGTGTGCCAATCCATACTCGCTTTGGAGGATTCAAGGTCATTCTTTCATGTTTTGCCAGCCGGCGGTCAAAGTGGAGTTTAATTCAGCGTTAATTCCCTTCGTCCTCCTCTTCATCATCTTCATCATCTTCTTCTTCATCTTCATCCCTCTCTCTCTGTTTCTCAGCTGTTTTCGAGTTTTTCCTTGTCTTTCCCTCTGATCTGCTGCAGTCTGTCCATCTCTGTGATAATCTGAGATTACGTGTGACGACTCCTCAGATTACAGTCGGCTGAAGTTTCCTGAGTGTGAAGAAGAAAAATCTAAAAGTGTTTTAAAAACTTTAACATGTTTTTTTTTTTCTCACTAAGGTTTTATTCAGAGTCTGTAAACCTCCTGACAGCTTCAACCAAACCCAGGAGTTTCTACTTTCAGGAGATCCCGTCAATATTTCATCGGACAAAGATTGGATTTTAACGACCAAAAATGTCTCTTCTTGGAGCGGCTAACGTCCATCTGAACTTCAACATGAACTCAGCTCATCCATTCATAAATCTCACCAAAATAACCTCATATCCTTCATCCATTCATAGAGCTCACCAAAATAACCTCATATCCTTTATCCATTCATAGATCTCACCAAAATAACCTCATATCCTCAGGCTGGTTTGGGCGCAAACGGTGCTTAAGAGAGCGTGAGGATCTGATTGGACGAGAGTTTTTACTGCCAACAGGGTGAAACTGAAACACGAGTTTCTGTCCTGCTGCTTTTCTGTCGCTCCACGGAGATTCATTCATTCATTTGTTAATTCATTCGTTCATTTGGAGTTTATTTTTCTTATTTTTATCACATGAACAGAACCCAGACCAGTGTGACCAGTGTGACCAGTGTGGACCCGAACCCTGAGCCGCTTATTTCTTCAAGATTACACTAGAATCAACATTCATCCATTCATCAGTTCATTCATTCAGACTGGAGGGAATAAAAAAACCTCTGTGTTCAGAAACTCCAGGGATAAATGAATGATTAAATGAATGAATGAATAAATGAGTGGATGAATGAGTGAATCAATGAATAAACAAGTAAATAAATGAATGAATGAATAAACAAGTGAATGAATGAACAAATACATGAGTGAATGGATGAATAAATGAATGAATTAATGAATAATGAACTCTCACAGCTGCTCTTGTCACGGTTTTCACAAATTCAACCGACAGGAAACGGCGAATCTCAGCGCCGACCTGAAAAACCGTCATGTTTGTTGCTGCTGTTGCTCTCATTGTTGTTGCTCTCATTGCTTTCGTTGTTGCCTTCATTTCTGTTGTTGCTTGCGTTGTTGTTGCTGTCATTGCTGTCATTGCTGTTGTCGCTCTCGTTGCTCTTGTTGCTGTTGTTGCTGTCATTAGAGTTGTTGCTCTGGTTGTTGTTGCTTTCCTCGTTGTTGCTTTGGTTGTCGTTGTTACTGCTGAGAAGATTTTAAGCAGAAATCTCTCTGGTTTCTCTGAAAGTTGAGCAGCAGTTTTTTTTGTTTTTTTTTAGCGAGACTTCGACACGTTTTTTCTGTTTCAAACTTTATGAATCTTTACAGGCTTTGGTTTACATTCAGTTTATTTTCATTAGTTTTCTCTTTAATTTTGTTGTTTTTCTCTTTAATTTTGTTGTTTCTCTCTTATTTTGTTGTTTTTTTCTCTTTATTTTTGTTTTTTTTCTTTAATTTTGTTGTTTTTTCTCTTAAATTTTGTTGTTTTTTTCTTTAATTTTGTTGTTTTTTCTCTTTAATTTTTGTTGTTTTTCTCTTTAATTTTGTTGTTTTTCTCTTTAATTTTGTTGTTTTTTCTCTTTAATTTTGTTGTTTTTTCTCTTTAATTTTGTTTTTTTCTTTAATTTTGTTGTTTTTCTCTTATTTTGTTGTTTTTCTCTTTTATTTTGTTGTTTTTCTCTTCAATTTTGTTGTTTTTCTCTTATTTTGTTGTTTTTTTCTCTTTATTTTTGTTGTTTTTCTCTTTAATTTTGTTGTTTTTCTCTTTATTTTTGTTGTTTTTTCTCTTTATTTTTGTTGTTTTTCTCTTTAATTTTGTTGTTTTTCTCTTTATTTTTGTTGTTTTTTCTCTTTAATTTTTGTTGTTTTTTTCTCTTTATTTTTGTTGTTTTTCTCTTTAATTTTGTTGTTTTTTCTCTTTAATTTTTGTTGTTTTTTCTCTAATTTTGTTGTTTTTTCTCTTTAATTTTTGTTGTTTTTTTCTCTTTATTTTTGTAGTTTTTCTCTTTAATTTTGTTGTTTTTCTCTTTAATTTTGTTGTTTTTTCTCTTTAATTTTTGTTGTTTTTTTCTTTAATTTTGTTGTTTTATTTTCTCTTTAATTTTGTTTTTTTTTCTCTTTAATTTTTGTTGTTTTTTTCTTTAATTTTGTTGTTTTTTTTCTCTTTAGTTTTGTTGTTTTTCTCTTTATTTTTGTAGTTTTTCTCTTTAATTTTGTTGTTTTTCTCTTTAATTTTGTTGTTTTTTCTCTTTAATTTTTGTTGTTTTTTTTCTTTAATTTTGTTGTTTTTTCTCTTTAATTTTTGTTGTTTTTTTCTTTAATTTTGTTGTTTTTTCTCTTTAATTTTTGTTGTTTTTTTCTCTTTATTTTTGTTGTTTTTCTCTTTAATTTTGTTGTTTTTTTCTTTAATTTTGTTTTTTTTTCTTATTTTGTTGTTTTTTTTCTCTTTATTTTTATTGTTTTTCTCTTTAATTTTTGTTGTTTTTTCTCTTTAATTTTTGTTGTTTTTTTCTTTAATTTTGTTGTTTTTTTTTCTCTTTAGTTTTGTTGTTTTTCTCTTTAATTTTTGTTGTTTTTTCTCTTTAATTTTTGTTGTTTTTTTCTTTAATTTTGTTGTTTTTTTCTCTTTATTTTTTGTTTTTCTACATGTAAAGGAGACAAAGAAAGTTCAACGTTTCCTCCACGACTCTTACGACTGTGACGACCACAAGTCTCCATGAAGTCGGACTTAGACTTTTCTTCATCCGGGCTTCAGGATTTTTTGATCCAGTTAACTCGATCTCTCGCTCTCAGGTCGTGGTCTCTGTCCATCTGTGTTTTCTCAGCTGAGCTGCGGCGGCGGCGGCGCTCCTCAGAGGACCGCAGATTCTTCGCCCTGATGTAAACTCTTCTGGTCTGTTGTTGACTTTATTTAATTCGTCCGCCACGTTTTTATGGGCGGGACGTAAATGCAGTTTGCATCATGAACCTTACATTCCTCAGAGGCATGCATGGCTGCAGACAGCTGGAAGTAACTTGAGCCGCTCAGTCACTTATCAACGCTGGCATCCCCGCCATTTCCCATCGCCGTCCTCAGGCCTGAAGAATCGACCATTGTTGGAGTCTCTGTGGGTCTGTGTTAACTCCACGCTGCTGCTGATCGCCCAACAGATACTCAGAAAAATGGTCGTTTTGTCTTTGTCCAGATAACCCTGTCCTGTGACATCCAAGCTGTGTGTGTGTGTGTGTGTGTGTGTGTGTGTGTGTGTGTGTGTGTGTGTGTGTGTGTGTGTGTGTGTGTTGAAGGAAGCAGCATCAGCTCACAGGCCAGAGGAGGTTTTTAAGCTGAATCTGCTGATTTTTCAAACACGTTGATGACCACGCTGATCTGCGGCGCCATGGCGCTCGCCGCTCCGTGAGTTCAGCACCTGGTCTGTGTGTCCTCCAGATGATCTCCTCTTCATAAAAGCTCCCTGGACTTCCTCAGGTCTCCTCGAAGTTTCCAGGATGCTTCTCTGACTGTCTGTTTTACACATAGAGACCGGATCCCTGGGGGGCAGTAAAGGGGTCAGGGGGAAACCGTCCGTCTATTTCCTTTCTCTGGCCTTGGGAAACTCGAACCACGAGTCCGCAGCATATTTTTAGTATCCATGAACGGCTTTTGTCTGAGTGTTTCCACGGAAGCTGTGTTTTTCTTTCTCACATTAATAATCAATAATCATTGATTATTAAATCAATTGAAGGTTTTTGGCCTCAGCAGAGACGAACAGACGGCGTCCGCCATCTTTACGTGTTTCATGAAAAGAGTTTCATGATGTTTGAGCGGCTGAAGGGTCGTCTCATGTTCGTGTTCGTTTGTGTTAAACGATAAACGTGATCAGGACCGTTCAGTGAAGCTGTTACTGGTTTTATTCAGAGCGACAGTAAAGGAAGTTTAAATTCATAAACGATATTTTAATAACGATAATTAAATGATTTCATTTAAAAAACACTGAAAAGTGTAAATTCTGTTTGTTTCGGGTGAAGTCGGGTGAGCTCTCATAAACTCTCCTGATGGAAGTCGTACCTGAGTGAAACACGTCTCTCAGACACGTCGGACCTGCTGGACCACATTTCTGTCGTCTACAGGTACATCAGCCCCCCCCCCTCCTGATTTAGCTCAGTGTGGTTCTTAAAGACGCTCCTCTCTGTGTGTCTATTACAGAGCGGGAGTAAATTTAACCCACTGTACATGTCTGTGTGTGTGTGTGTGTGTGTGTGTGTGTGTGTGTGTGTGGCGTTTACATCATCTGTAACCATGGTAGTTATTATGGTCTTTGTGTGAGAAACACACTTTGGTGTGTCTCTGTGTGTCGTACAGTAACTCTGACTGTGTTTTCTGAAATAGACGGCGGTGAGAAGAAGAAGTTGTTGCATAAACACAAAAAGACTTCGACCACATTAAGATGATCTCAGCAGGGCTGTTGTTCTCGCTTTCTTCTTCTACTGTTATCACCTGCTTCATGGAAAGGTACGAGCCAATAAAAATAAGTCATTTCAGATTGTGACGCCGCGTTGGCGCTCCGCTCTCTGCAGCTGCAGCCGACTGTAGAAAACAAACAGCGCTCTGCAGCTGCGATCTTCTCGACTGCGAAAGGGGAATTTTAATCCCGTTTTTTCTACTCTGGCATCGGTCGGATTTATTTGGTCATAAAGATGGAAAAGCATCCCGCCATCTGAGAGGGAAGTGAGGACCTGAATGAAGACTGAACTCCAACCCTGAGAGGTCAGAGGTCAGACTCATTAATGGAGTACCTGCTACGCTGCGGCGAAGGTTTTCACCCCGATATCATTCTCAGTTTTATTTTCAGACGCTAACCTTCCAGCCGTCAGGAGCTGGGGGGTCAGAGGTCAGACCTCCAGGAAGAGCCGTAACCAAACTATGAGCGTTATACTCATCACTGCCAGTGGAGGCGCTGCCACTATTGTGTTACCGTCGTTCACTTCTCATGTTTCATCAGAAACGAGCCGAACCCTCGACTGAACAGAACCGGAGAGGAACCGGAGAGGAACCGGTCCACCTGAGGACAAACCTGAGGACAAACCTGAGGACAAACCTGAGGACAGACCTGAGGACACTTTAACTCCAGACCGTCTCTGATTCATGGTCTACACTCTCATTCATTCATTCATTCATTCATTCATTCATGGTAAACCCCTGATCACACGTGCAGCAGGTCGTTCATGAACGTCTTTTTCTGACTCCGCCTCTTCTCTCTGGTGTCAAACGGCGAATAGTCAACATGAAGTCAGAGGTCAGAGGTCAGAGGTCACTTTACTGTCTGTTAACATGGAGGAGATTTGACCTGCAGGATTAACCTTTGATCAGACTGTTTGATAAAACGTCAGGAAACGACACGGACGCCATTTTGTGAATCTTTCCTCGGCTGTGAAGCTTGTTCTCCGTGTCCCTCTGACTGTCCTCCAGAACTCTGAGGTTCTGGACGGGCTGCAGACCTTCCAGAACTTCAGTTCAGGTGCAACAACAAAGTCAGAGTGTCTCCAAAGTCTCCACATGATAAACAGGAAGTGAGCCTGAGCGAGCGCCATCATCTCCAGAGACGTCAGACATCGGCGAAGATCTGCTGCTGCGAGGACGTAGATTTAATCGGACCGGAGAGCAGAACCTCAGCTGAGCTCTTTAAACCTTCAAAGAACCAGAACCACCTTTGACTTTGTCTGCCGAGACACGCCGCCGCCGCCGCCAACGGGACGCTTCCATCGGAACCACCGACTCGGGTCAGCAGCTGTTCCACCAGATCCTTCAGACAAGAACCTGTTCAGTTTCTGTGAAAGGTGCTGAAAGACCCGAACCCAGAACCCTGAAAGACTGAAGCGGATCAGAACTCCGAGGTTTTTGTTTCATTTCTGACAGAAAAAAAAACTATTTTTGGTTCTTTAGAGGAGCGGGGCGGTCCGGGGGTCCGGGGGTCCGGGGGTCCGGGGGGTCCGGGGGGTCCGGGGGTCCGGGGGGTTCGGCTCTTTATCAGCTTCACTCTCCAACATCTTAGTTCCTCTTTTCAGCCTTTAGGAGCATCCTGTGACCTTTGACCCCGCAGACAATAGAAGCCAGGACGTTTCCCAGGGAGCGGCGAGGGAGACGACGACGGGAACACGAGGAGAGCTGCTGGGAAACAACACACACAAAGACACACACACATGAATACACACACACACAGACACACAAAGACACACACACACAAACACACACAC